ATAATTAATCTCTCGCTAACATTAAACTTTGTGCAAATTTCTCACGTAATTTATTCATCATAGCTGCTCCACGTGAAGAATTCACTTGAGAAGTTCCTCCCTCATGTTGATTGTCATTTAAATTTTGGAGTTTATTAGTTAGTATAAATTATAAAGTTTGATCAAATTTGTTGAATGCTAAATTCACTACAATTTTTCTCTGAATAAAATTATGTAAAGCCATTGTTATGATCACAATGTCTCTTTGCACTTTAAATGGATATGGTAGCATTGCTTTTAGTCTCTTCCATCTAATCTTCCAAACTCCAAAAGTTCGTTCAATGCGACTTTTATGAGAAGAATGCCATTGATTATAAATTTTTTTAAGCCCTTTAGGTCAAATACCATGTTGAAACTCATGTAAATAGTATCTTGTTTCCTTATATGGTCTAAGACATCGTTTAATTTGAGGATATCTAATATCCATTAAATAATATTTCCCTACATAAATTTGCAAAATAGGTCATAAAATTTTTTTTATAAATAATTTTTTTGATAACATTTGTTAATTAGGTATATATATAAATATACATACATATACATATTATAATAACAAATTAAAAATATTTTATAAACCTGGTGGAGGATGAGGAAAATTTAATTATCTGTTATGAATGACATTTTGAAAAACTCATGCATTACACTATTTCTTCCCATCCTACTAATACAAATGTGAATTGCAAGTCAAAACTACATGTAGCCATAAGATTTTGTGTATGCACACATTTTCTTCCAATAAATCATATTATTTCCTTGATTAGTACATAAGCGTGCGCAAGAGTTCCATCACTAGCTTTAATGTAGTTCTATAATAATAAAAAAGAATTATGTCAAGTTATTTGGCATAGTCATGAAAAATAATTGTGTAAAAAGAACTTAACTAATTTATTATCTGAAAATGAAGCATATAACTTTCATCATTAAGTACTCTAGAGGGTTGGTGTTAAAAGTTGAATTCTTTGGTGTAATAAGGTCTCTTAAAAAAATGTAACATTGCCTACAACACTTTATGGAAATTCCGACTAATTGTTTCACTTGAGTATTGAAACCATTCTTGAACTTATCTATTTGAATCTCCTAAAGCAAGGGTATAAAAAAAAACATATCAACCTTTTCCAACACTATCATCCTCTTTGAAGCATTTAATCCATACTTGCTCTGTAACTCATTGCAAAGACGAATTAATATATTTTTATCCATTCTAAACATATTTATGCATGTTTGATCATTTCCTCTCATTATCTCTATCAGCCACATGTATCTTGTTTGCAATAAATCCTTGCTTGATTGTTTTCTTTACATAATTGTCTACAAATAAAGTTCAAATAGTAAGAATATATTACTTCAACAACATTTATTGAGCAATCTTATAAATCATCCTCTTCTTCAAATGCAATCTATCATATCTACCTAATAGAAAACTAAAATAAGTAAATAATAAGACTCAATATTATACAAGTAGAAACTTAAAGGAAGTAAATAAATAAATGACGTTATGAAATCAATTCATATTATTAATAACCAATAGAATTTTACATGAAATGAAGTGCAAGCATTCACCTATAATAAAAAAAAATCTCTTAAATTAAAATTCAATTTAATTAGAAGTCTAACTAAATTCATTAGTGATTCAAGAAACCATGTACCCATATATTTGTTTAAAATTCTAAAAACCTTAGTTTTTTGTCAACAATTATCATGGTAAAGAACATCTCTCTATTAGGTTTTTCTAAAAGGAATTTTGAAGAAAAAAATATGAATATCATCACTAACCTCCACACTTGGAAAAGAAAGTACATCCTTCATTACCTTCGTAATACTCTAGCTAGAATTATCCTATAATGTTTGTTGTAATGCTAAAATCCTCTCAATCATACTTTCTTTCAACTCCTTAACTGACTCAACTAATAATTATGCTCTAGTTTGTGACTTCTTTTTATAAAAATTCTTATTTTTCTTATTTTGAGCACCTAAAACATTTATCATACTTATTTTTAATCCTACTAATGCATTTGCTATTTTTACTCTCATTTTTATTGACACCTATAGTTTTAGTTTCATATATTTTACAATAATGACAAAATTTTGTATCACATGCCATTAAACCATCTAAACTTGTATCAAAATCCTATTCTAAATCAACATTGCCCTCCTTTTGTTCTATTTTATCATTCTTTGTCTCCTTAATCCCATTTAATGGTAGATCACAAAAAGGTGCATGTGAATATTAGTAGCCACAAGCTTATTAAATAACAACTTATATTCATTGAAAAGTTCTTTCCCAGCCCCTTTTTCAAGCATATCTGCCACATGTAGATTTTTTTTGGAATGAAGATATAATCAGCACTAATCACTAAAGTGCATTGCATCAAAAATTTAAATTATAATAAATTTCTTGGAATTACATTCTCTTTTTCTTCCTGCCAGCAAGCTAGAGCATAAACTATAACACACCTCCCTCAGCACTTTTAGTCCTAGGAGAGTTCGAAAATAAGATTTATAATAAAGAATTGCAGCGGAAATAAAAACACTTTCAAAAAAAGAAGATCATAAATACCTATAAAGGAGAACCACTTTAACAAGTCAATATATATATTGAAAAAATGCCAAAATATTCAAAGTTATAAAATAAGCCAAGCTAAGCTCATTTATAATTAATTTAAAAATTTTATACATAAAGGTAATTTACACAAAAATTATATGAGGCAAATTCTTCTCCAAAGCTTTTCAACAAAGTAAAAGCTTAGTCATTGTTTTGGTAACACATCGATCTGCCTCCCTATCGAAAACACGAGGCCTAGCTTGTACATACAATGAGCATGCGAGTCCCGTGCCAAAAGCTCCCTAACGAGAGGCTGCTACCTCGATCTATTGATTTGAAATGGGGGGGGATTTATAAGCTAACAGCCTAGTAAGTAATAAGTTTAAGCTATAAACTTGGGTTCTAAGACCTTTAGACCTATCCACACAAAGAGCATGAGACACAACGAAATCAAATCACATAATATTATAATTTTTACTATTTAAATAATAACTTAATATCTCAAATCATAAGCACAAATGTCAAGGAATAATCAATGACAGTTAAATTGAATTCATATACTAAAATCATATGCTCACAAATACGATGTCACAAGCGCAATGCATAAAATCGAAAATCACACAATACTATGGAGTCCACTGAGGTGTGCTAGCAACACTGTACCGGAGCTAATCACAGTATTAACCCTACTGTGCAGAGGTCCACTAAATACCTCAAAGGGTCCACTGAATACCCCAAGCTTTAAGCTTAGATCCATTTACTCCATAACCATAAACACATACGGATGTCAAACAAATTCATAATATGTCCAAAATAATATTAGGACTTCCTATTGAAAGAGATCAAAGCATAATGCGTGAACAGTAATCATGAACAGTAATTCATAAATAGTACAATTTACTTATAATTCCTACAGCAAAAATTCACATTCAAATCAAACATAAAAAGGACTAACTCACTGTCTTTCCCATATAAGCCCCAAAATTAAGGATATTTCAAATGAAATTTGAATACCCAAAAATTTTATAAACCAAAGGATTACAGTCCAATCTCACCAATTTAAACTACCCAAAACTCTAACCCAAATTTCATAACTAAAACTTATACTTACCTAACAAAAGCACCTTAACCTTGGTTGGAGAAATAAGGAAGAAAAGGATGTAGGTGGAAGAGGAAGGCGTAGGAAAACAAAATGGGGCTTTTGGGAGCCTTCTGGAGGCTTATCCAAGCTTCCACCGACAAAGAAAAAAAACTTGGTTGCGACAATGCCATGTGGTAAGCAAAATTGGTATAATTGAGTTTTGGTCATTCAACTTCTACTAAGTTTTACTTAAAACCCCCAAACTTTAAATTCAATCAATTTAATCCCTAAAACTATAAACTAAAAGACACTAATTTTTAAATTATTCACTAAGGTATGTGGGGTGTTACATCAACTATGCAAGTGATTGGATTCCTCCCAATTATAGTTTCTTTCCATTTTGCTTGTCTTTACCCAAGGACTATCAACACACTCATTAACAAATTTGTTGAATTGCTTAGTCTCTCTCTTAACCCTAAAAATATTCAAACTTCCCTTCACACTCTTCTTGTTGATAACTATCTATTTAAGGTATTTAAATTCATGTAACACCTAACATATACAAATGAGAACAATAAATATAATAAAATTTCCTAGTGAATTGAGTTTGTTATATTGAATTTCATTTTTTTTTAAAGGTCTCACCTCTTACTAATTTAATATAATATTTGAATATAATTATACATAGATTAACTTAACCTAATCAGTTCTAAAAATTTAGATGAAACAATCATATATGTTATTAGATGAGTGTGCAAAAAGGGAAGATGTCAAATTATTAAATTTCCAAATGTGTTTGGATGAACATGCCAAATTTAAACTATATAATTATGCCAAATTTTAACTATATAATTAGGATGCTAGAACAACCAATAAGTAGAACCCATACAATCATAGCAAGAATGAGTTTAATTTTTTTTTAAAGGTCACAATTAATAACAATAGTTACAATATTGTGTAGAAAAAAATGTTAGAAGCTTAAGAGACATACAATTGAAAATATAGAAACAAAAAACAAAATAGTAGCTTTGACTTACTGGACGAGATTATGTTTAGATGGCTATTTTTGCATGAAAATTAGCTTTTAATATGGCATGAGGACAAGAAGTTGGTTACCATTTAATACACTGGACAAAATCATGAGGAGAATTCGCAAGAGGTAAATAATTATATTCACAAAAACATTGTATAGTCAAAACAATAACAAAAGTTAATATCAATTCTTTTTAGGTAGGCAAATATAATTATATTAATGAGTAGAAAAAGTACTCCAGACTCATTTATAAAATAAAGACAACTAAAATAATGTGCCTTAGAAAACAGAAGCCTTTTAAAGGCAAACAATATATTAATACTTCTAGAAATCAAATCATAACAATAAGTTTAAAAAGTATAACACCTAAAATAAAAAAAATGTCAAGAGAACAATTATATCAAAAGTATTAGAAATAATATTACTTATTTTTAAATTTGAAATAACTTTGAGAGGACTTTGGGAGAAGGTTTAAGACACATACTGCTATCTATTAACAAGCATAATGTCAAACACAAAATTAGCAAATTTCAATCTACAATAATATTGGAAAACAAAAAAACATAGCAGTTAGATAAACATAATTGAAGAGAAATAAATAACCAAAGTGGGTATGAAGTTATAGCTAGAAAGGGATTAAATATGCTATCAAAAAAGCATAAAGCAACAATCATCGTATAAAGAAACAAAACAAAAGGGTTATATAAATCCATCATCTATTCACATGACATCTAATTCCTCTTTCCTTTCTTAGTCATCCTATGTACATGTATATATATATATATACAAAAAAACCTATTACACACCTCCCTTAGGTACTTTCAGTCCTAGAAGAGTCCTAAAATAAAATTTATAGTAAAGAATTGTAGCGAAAGTAAAAACACTTCTGATATAAAATGTTTTTTTAATAGAAAACTTGCTTTTAAATCAATTTAAAGATTATGTACATAAATGTAATTTACACAAAAATTATATGAGGCAAATTTCTTCTCCAAGCTTTACAAAAGAACAAAAGCTTAGTCATTGTTTTGGTAACACATTGATCTGCCTCCCTATCGAAAACACGAGGCCCTAGCTTGTGCATACAACGATCCTACGAGTCCCGTGCCAAAAGCTCTCAAACCGAGAGGCTGTTACCTTGATCTATTGATCTGAAATGAGGGAAAATTTTATGAGCTAAAAGCCTAGTAAGTAATAAGTTTAAGCTATAAACTTGGGTCCTAAGACCCCTAGACCTATACACATTAAGAGCATAAGATACAATGAAACCAAATCGCATAATATTATAATTCCATTATTTAACTAATAACTTAATATCTTTAATCATAATCACACATGTCAAGGAATAATCAATAACATTTAAATTAAATTCATATACTAAAGTCATATGCTCACAAATATGATGTCACAAGCGCAATGCATAAAACCGAAAATCAGACAATGCTATAGACTCCACTAATGTGTGCTAGCAACACTGTACCGGAGCTAATCATAATACTAACCCTACTGCGTAGAGGTCCACTAAATACCCCGAAGGGTTCACTGAATACCCCAAGCTTTAAGCTTAGGTCCATTTACTCCATAACTAGAAGCACATACATATGTGAAACAAGTTTAGAACATGTTCAAAATAATATTAGAATATTATCCCATTTAATGTTCCCATTAATCAGTCGTATGGACAATTCAAGTTCATACTGATATCCACATACACAACTCACATATTCCATAGAACTTCATATTGAAAGAAATTGAAGTACATTGCATGAATGGTAATTAGTGCGTGAATAGTATTCAGGAACAATATTTGTAAACAGTAATCCGTGAACAGTAACTTGTGAAACAGTTCCAACAAGATCCTTTAATCCATAAAATTCATACTAAATCAAATATATATATATAAAAGGAATAATTCATTGTTCTTCCCATATAAGCCCCAAAAATTGACATGTTCTTAACAAAATCTTAATACCCAAAGATCTATTAAACTAAAGCTTTGGGGTCAAATTTCACTAATTTAAACTAATTTTTAGTTTATTGAAATAAATCTATAATCTACCCAAAGAAACTCTACCTCAAATTTATAATCAAAACTCATACTTACCCAAAAACTTTAATTCCAAATTCATAACTTAAAACTGTATTTGCATATGAAAATTAAAGCATAAACTAGTAAAATTGTAAGAAATTTTCAATTGGCGAGTATAGATTTAGCACCACACCAAGCTGGAAGGAGAAAGAAAGGTGTAGACAGGAAGAAGGAAGGATACAGAGGAATGGTGGGGGTTCGAGAGCCTTTTGGAGGTTTATGCAATACCAGCGAAAAAATCCTTGCTTGGTGTAATGCCATGTGGAAAAAAATTGGAATAATTGAGTTAAGGCCATTCAACTCCTATTAAGTTCTACTCAAAAGCCCCAAACTTTAAATCCAATCAATTTAATCCCTAAAATTATAAATTAAAGGACTCTAAGTTTTAATTTACTCATTAAGGTATATGGGGTGCTACATCCTCCCCACCTTAAGAGGATTTGGCCCATCAAATCATTTAGCTTACCAAATAGATTTGGATACTACTCCCTCATCTGACTTTCAAGCTCCCATGTAGCTTCATTCTCATTAAAACACTGCCACAACACTTTCACCAAAGGCACAGTCTTGTTCCTCAAAAATTTTTCTTTTCTATCCAAAATCTGTACTGGCTATTCAGTGTAACTCAAATCTTCCTTCAACTCCAATGGTTCATAGTTAATGACATGTAAGGATCCGACTCATACTTCCTTAAGACAAACACATGAAATACATGATGCACATTTGACAAATTTGGAGGCAATGCAATTCTATAAGTCACTTCACCCACTTTTTCAAGAATCTCAAACGGGCCAATATATCTTGGACAAAGCTTTCCTTTTAAACCAAACCTGTACACTCCCTTGGTTGGTGACACCTTCAAAAATACATGATCTCCAACTCCAATTTCCAAAGGTCTTCTTCTATTATCTGCATAGCTTTTTTGTCTATCTTGAGCCATTTTAAGCCTTTGCTGAATCAATCTCACTTTCTCTATTGTTTGCTGCACAAAATCTGGCCCTATTAGTCGTCCATAACCGACTTCTACCCAACAAATTGGAGTTCTACATCTCCTACTATAAAGAGCTTCATATAGTGCTATCTTGATATTGGAATGATAGCTATTATTATAAGCAAACTCTGCCAATGGAAGATGATCATCCCAACTCTCAGGCAAATCTAATGCACAAGCTCTTAGCATGTCCTCAAGCACTTGAATAGTCCTTTCAGACTGCCCATTGGTTTGTGGGTGGTATGTTGTGTTTAATTTCAATTAAGTTCCCATGGCTTTTTGAAAAGATCTCCAAAATCTTGCAGTGAACCTTGGATCCTTGCCCGATGCAATGCTCACTGGAACTTTGTGGAGTCTAACAATCTCCTAAACATAAAGCTTGGCCAACTTGTCCAATGGGTCTTTTTGTTTTATGGCCAAAAGTGAGCTGACTTTGTCAATCTGTCCACAATGACCCAAATTGCATGCAATTGCCTTCTCGTCTTCGGCAATCCAACAATGAAGTCCATTGAGATGGCTTTCCACTTCCACTCCGGTATAGGCAAAGGTTGAAGTTGCCATCTTGGCTTATGGTGCTCTGCTTTTACCATTTGACAAGTCAAGCACTTGGACACATATTTAGCCACATCCTTCTTCATGCTTTCCCACCAGAATGTTTCTTTCAAGTCATGATACATGTTGGTGCTCCCAAGATGATTGGTATAATTGGACTTGTGTGCTTCTTGGAGCAATTTCGTCCTCAACCCTTCATCATATGGAACACAAATTCTATCTCCAAGTCTTATGATTCCATCATCCGAAATATGAAGAACCATTTTGGAGCTTTTTCCACTTTCCTTCATCCATTTCATCAATCTTGAATCTTTCTATTGTGCTTCTTTGATCTTTGACAACAGTGTAGGTTGAACCATTAAATTAGATACTAGTACATCAGACTTTGGTGGCAAAAATCTGACATTCAAATCCTAAATTCTTCTAGGAGTTTCCACTCCATCACCATTAAGCTTGCTAAGGTGCTAGTTGATTTTCTGCTAAGTGCATCTGCAACCACATTTCCCTATCCAGGTTGATAGACAATTTTGCATCTATAGTCATTTAGATACTCCATCCATCTTCTTTGTCTCAAGTTAAGCTCTTTTTGTGAAAATAAATATTTCAAGCTTTGGTGATCGGTGTGCACCTCAAACTCTTCTCCATACAAATAGTGCCTCCACAACTTAAGTGCAAAAATTATGGCAGTAAGTTATAAACCATGTGTAGGGTAATTCCTCTTATATGTCTTAGAGCTGTCTGGACCCATAAACCATCACTCGTTCATGTTGCATAAGCACACAACCCAAGCCTTTGTAAGAAGCATTGGTATACACCACAAAGTTTCCTCCATTGTCGATAATAGCAAGAATTGGTGCTGTGACCAATCTGTTCTTCAACTCTTGAAAGTTTTGCTCACATTTATTTGTCCATTCAAACTTTTGATTCTTATGAGTAAGTTGTGTTAACGAATCGGAAATCTTTGAATATCCCTCCATAAGCCTTCTATAATATCTTGCTAGCCCAAGAAAGTTCCGCACTTCGGTGACACTAGTCGGCCTTTCCCACTTCACAACTGCTTCCACTTTACTAAGATCAACTGGTATGCCATCTTTAGAAACAATATGACCTAGAAAGCTAATCTGATTTAGCCAAAATTCACACTTATCAAACTAGGCATACAACTTCTTTTCTCTCAAAATCTACAATACAATGGCAAGATGCTCCTCCTAGCTCTCTTCATCAAGACAAAAGATAAAAATGTCATCAATAAAGACAATGAAAAACTTATCCAAGTATAGTTGAAAGATTCTATTCATAAGATCCATAAAAGCTGCAAGGGCATTGGTTAAACCAAATGGCATTACCAGGAACTCGTAGTGCCTATATCTACTTCTAAAAGCAGTCTTCATCACATCTTCATATTTAACCTTTAGCTGATAGTAA